AGTTTGTTATTTTATATCCGTTTATTAATACCTACCTAAACATAATACGTTAAATTTGATAAAGAAAATAAAAGTAAATATAAAAAAGTTTATTACATACTTATAAGTTTCTATTTGAGTCTTAAATGAGCTGGCAAGGTTCAATTGTGCATCTTACTCGAACTTATACTCAAAGCAATGATAGTCCACTAATTGTCTCGTTCGCACCGTCTCGCCTCGCGTCTGTGAACTGAAAGAACTTAAAAGGCAGGTGAACTATTAAGAGCGTGTACAAGAAACTAATTCCTTTCGGTCAGTGTTAGGAATTCTTCCTAACAATTCCTATTTCATAAACTACTCAAGCCTATCGGCCAAGTTTATGTTCAATAATAAAACACGTCTTGACGATGAGGTAAAAAATCGGCAGCAGTTGTTGATGTTGTGCGCGCTGGCGACATCGGTGGCTCCCGCGGCGGGGTGGATGCAGCGCTCGGGCTGGCTAGGCCAGCTCGTGCAGTACTACAAGAACGAATTCTTCGAAGACCTCGCCAACATTACTCCATCCGTTGACGTCCAAGGTAAGTACGTTCATGATATTCCATCAACCGTGATCATGCTGTAGTGGCATCTTGCTGAGTACCATCCCCTGGATACCAACTACTCTATTGTGCTGACAGCAAAATGCACGCATTTCTAGATCTCATCGTGTCTCTAAAATGTGCTATGTATTCCAATAAAATAACAACATGCCACAACAGGCGTGTCTGCGTCGATTTTTGATATCAGCCAAAGCATTTCCTAATTAAATGCAAGAGATTATTAATGACCATTTGTGCCGTGGGGCGACGGCTTAAGAATACATTGTCGCCTCCCCATACATGCCCGTGGGGGTCGTAAGAGGCGACCGAGGGCGTCACAAGTGTCCATCTGCTTAGCATTGTGGTAGGCTCTGTGCCGACTGGATAGCGACCACAGTACACACGGCGGAAAACCCTCCACAGTGAAACGCTTTTGCGAATCGCGTTCAGGGATCAGTTGGTGTACATCCAGTGCATTTGGCCAGACCGGCAAAATGATAGTGACGGAGTGAAGATATTTGTGTTTTCCATCCGTTACTCTCATCTCTGGACTGTATTCGCACTTTCCATCAGGCGCGGTGCAGTCATTTTGTCGAGTCGCAATAAAAAAAAAAAAAAAAAAAAAAAAACCACTTTACTTTGGAGTTACGTGGTCCACAGCTACAAAACTAGAACATTATAAATATATCATTAAATGGAGTCGTGTTTTTTTGAAACTAATACGTATCTATAGCGAAACTAATGCTCGCGCCTTCGGGCTACAACGACTCGGCTGATTGGGACGTGGACAGCGTGATTCGTCTGCTGTACCTTATGCACCGCAGCCCCTCATCGCAGCCCGCGCTCGCCGCCGTGCGGCGCATGCTCGCCGTGTCGACGCGGCGATTCATTGTCAACCCCGCCTACATCAGCAAAAAGCTAAGCTACAAGCTGTTCCCTAGTCTACCCGAGGTACTTAACAAATTAATTATAAAATAAATCCGACGTAAGCAAGATTTAATGTAGCTGATCAACATAACCCATACTGATCGACATAAAGCAAATAAAGTCATTTCAGTTTTATATTTTCCCCTGCAATGTTCCTAAACTTAACATGATTTGATTTTACAAGGACGTCTACTACGACGGGTCAGCCAGTACGGACGACGACGGCGAACTAGAAGACCCTTGGCGCAGCAACCTGAACATCACCGACGACACCATCATTGTCATTGCGAACCCTGTCGAGGCGCGGATGCCTAGCTCGCGGATTTCCGCAAAGAAACTGCGGTGCGATTTTCGATGTGGTCATTGAATGAATGAATGAATGAATGAATGAATGAATGAAATATTCTTTATTGCACATAAAAATTACAATTAAAATCCAGTACAATAGCTTAAGTATAACAGTAGTGGTAATTCAATGTGCAACAGGCGGCCTTATTGCTATGTAGCAATTTCTTCCAGGCAACCTTAGGATAGACATTTCGGATATGCAAAAGAGGTGCAACCAAAGAATATCATCATAAGTATACTACATAATAAGTAATAATAAAAAAAATATATATATATACATATCCATAGATAGATATACATATACATACAAATAACAATAATATTATTAATACGTACATAACAATAAATACATAATAATATTAAATGCTTATATACTTTTAAAGGAAAAAGAAAAATGAAGTATAAATGCAGGAAATAAATGAAAGGATAGTAGAGTACACACGAAATTTAGGAGTTGAGGAAGTGATCCTTGACACGTAGTTTGAAGGAATCAAGAGAAGTGGATCGTGGATCGCGAATCGATTCAGGGAGAGAATTCCACAATCTGATCGCAGAAATGGTAAAAGAGTTGGAATAAAAGTTAGAGGTATGAGAGGGCAAGTTAAGTAAGAGAGTATCAGAGGAGCGAAGGGAACGACAGAGTGTAGAAGAGTGGAAAGTAAAGCGATCTTTAAGATAAGAAGGCGTAAAGGGATAGAACAGAATTGAATAGAGAAGTGAAAGGATATGAAGATCTCTACGCCGATGGATGGGCAGCCATTTAATTTGTGCGCGAAATTGGGAGACATGGTCAAATTTACGTAGTCCGAAGATGAACCTAACACACATATTTTGGAGCCGTTCCAATTTATTGAGCAGAGTTACTGACAAATCTGGGTAGCAAACATCTGCATAGTCCAGTATCGGGTGGAGAATGCTCTGGGCCAGAGTAATTTTGGTTTTAGTCGGCAAAAAGTTTTTAAGCCTTCTCAGAGAGAAATGCGCACCAAACACCTTCCTGCTAACCTCAGCAACTTGCGGCTTCCAAGTCAGACATTTATCAAAAATTACCCCCAAATTTCTGACTGTATCCAAATAAGGAATACAGACACCATCGAAAACCACAGGGGGTAAGGAGTCTAGATTTAAACGAGAATTGAACCAAGTGCTACCTATAATAATCGATTGTGTTTTGGATGGGTTAACTTTAAGGCCAAAGGACTGACTCCATTGACGAATGGATTCAAGGTCCACATTGGTAGCGTTAATGGCACTTGGTAAGTCTTGAATAGATGACTGGGTGTAAATCTGGAGGTCATCAGCATAAAGATGATAAGAAGAAGTGAGGGATTGTGTGATAGAGTTAATAAACAAAGAAAATAAGAGAGGAGAAAGGACGCCACCCTGCGGGACTCCGGCGGAAATATCGCACCACGTAGAGAAAGAATTCTCATTGCGTACACACTGCCGACGTCCACAGAGGTAGCTTCGAAACCAATCAATAACTGCTGGAGATATGTTAAGAGTACGCAATACCTCCAATAATAGGTCAAAGTCAACACCATTGAAGGCATTACTGAAGTCGAGGAGTGTCAGCACAGTCAATTGTCGATTTTCCATACCCAAACGGATGTCATCAGTGATTTTCGTGAGTAGTCGTACTATGACCAATGCGGAAACCAGACTGGAGAAGATTGAAAAGGTTGTTCCTGTTTACGAAATTAGTCAACTGACAGTGAACAAGCTTTTCTAGGACTTTCGACAGGAAAGGAAGAATTGAAATAGGACGGTAGTCTGAAGGGAAGCTGGGTTTGGTTTTTTTCGGTAGTGGAATGACATAAGCGTCTTTCCAGGCAGAGGGGAAAACACAGGTAGAGACAGATTTATTAAGGATTTTAGTAATGACGGGAGTGAGGAGATCGAGGAGCGGAATGATCATATTACGACTAATGCAATCACTGCCTACAGCATTGGAAGCGATAGCTAAAACGTTTTTCTTAACATCACAGTCAGTAAATTGATTAAGAACAAAAGATGAATAGTCAGGAGTTGGTAATGATAAAAGATATAGCAAAGTGTTGTCTTTGACTGAACAGTCAAAGACTGGCGCAGATGAAAAGTGGTTGTTAAGGTTATCTAGATTCAGGTCTAAGGAAGAATTATTGCTATGAGATTTACCAACTCCAAGCGATTTAAGGAAATTCCAAATTTTAGTGGGGTTACCATTTTCGATGGATGTGTGGATGTGGCGTCGCTGAGCATCCCTAATCAATGTGTTGCAGCGATTTCTGATTCGGTGATATTTTTTGCAATTCGCATCAGATGGTTCAATTTTGTACCTGGTTTTCGCACGATTCTTCTTCTCCATATAACTTCGAAGGTCATTACTCAGCCACGGTGCAGGAAGGTGCCTGATCCGAACGGGTCGAACTGGTGGCGATGTAAATAACTCGACCTGTTCATCCACCGAACCAACACTATCCACTACTGACCAGTCAACTCTACTCGCATCTTCACGCAATCGATCTAAGTCCATGGCTCCAAAATTACGTTGTAGGAGAATTTTAGGCTTAGCCTTGGGCACGCGCACCCTATACGACAGGTACACGAGGTCGTGATAGGAAAAGGCATCGGCCGTGAATTGACCATGCTTGGTGACAAGTTCGGGAGAAGAGACTGCTATGAGGTCCAGAAGAGAGGGAGTACAGTTAGGAAAATGATGCGTAGCGTTCGATGGAAGAATATGTAAGTTACAGGAATTTATAACAGAACGAAGACTGCTCGAACGTGAATCATTTTTAAGAAGGCAAGTATTAAAATCACCCATCAAAATGGTATGATCATATGAAGGAGCAAAGTCTTCAAGGAGCTTTTCAAGAGCGGAAAAGTAGTCAATTCTTAGAGATGGGCAATAGTAAACTCCCAGAAGTAGTTTATGATGAGACAAAGTAACTTCCAGAAACAGATGTTCTGCAGTATCAGGTGGAGGGGGTTGAGGTGAAGTACTGAGGATTGCAAAAGGAATATGGCTACGAAGATAAATGGCTACCCCACCATGTGAAGAACTAGCACGGTCATTGCGAATCAGTTGGAAACCTGGAAGACAGACAGAAGTAGAAGAAAGGCTAGGATTTAAAAATGTCTCCGACACAAGAATAGCGTGGATATTTTTGTTGTCAAACGTAGCTAGCATGTCCGTATAAAATTATTAATGGGTGTATATAGGAAATGAAACTATTTTTCCGGATTTAAATCGCATATATTTGTTTTTTCAAACAAACCGACGTTTCGGGCCCTTTACAGGTCCCATGGTCACGGTTGAGTCAACCGATTTAAATCCGGAAAAATAGTTTCATTTCCTATACTTATAACAATTTAAAATATTTATTTTTGTTTAAATTGCGTTCTAACAATTACAGTACATTACCTATTTGATACCACAAAGGTTAATAATGAATTAAATCCTTTAAAACTTTAGTTTTGCGGTTGCGTGTTAGATTACCTACTACATACTTTGTAGAGCAATATCGTTACGAGTAATTTCCGATGCACATAACGTGGCGTGTTCGAGTATAATGGTGCAATACTACGTAACTGAACTATGAAATGTAGGCAATGGTGTTGTTAGATATTTTCATCACACTTGCTCGTAAGTAATATTATAAATTGCAGCAAAAGTAATCGGTATTTTCAACTTACGGCTTTTTTTATAATATAGACGGGTATGGTTTATTTAATTTCCGCTAAACGCTCTTGGTCTCACGTAATATTAACACGCCGCGACCTTAAAAATATATTATATACATTATCCAATCAGCTTTATTTAATTTACTATTTTTGTAAGATACAGATGTCATACATAATCCGACGCAATCTCATGCAAATATTTTGTATCCCATTAAACTTAATATCGGACACCCTAATATATCGCAAACTAATCAACTTCCTAGAAAGAATTTTAACCAATTATAATGTCATTATGAATTTAGAAGTCGTAATTATCATTGACTATTATCAAGATAATTATTTTGATAAATGTACCTTGATATTTACAAAATTAATTTATGTTGTGCTGAGACGTATTCAAACGTGTCAAATGTCAATCTCAAAAAGAAGTCACAATTCAAATCGTTTGCTCAAAGTTTTACTTCTAAATCTTAATAAACATTTATTGAGTTTTCGCACTTGAAACTATGAATCAGTATGGATAATTGTCGGATAATTTATCAGGAAATTATCGTGATAATTATCAAAGGAAATAAATATCTTGATAAAATAAATATAATATGAATAAACTGTAACATTTAATTTAATTAACATTTTATTTTCCTTTTTTTAACTTTCTTGCAAGCGTAATGAAAATAAGTGAGGCGGCGTTAGGTGATGAATGGGTACTAACTAAAAATTCCTACACATGATTTTCTAAATTAATCGGTTGCCATTGCATTCAACAGCCAAACTCTAACAACTGCACTAATTTGTAATGCGATGGATTCTCAGTATCCTGTACAACCCCGCTCACACCCTGCGTGACAGCGCCGCAAATGTTTACGTAACGAAAAGTTTACGAAACTAATGTTTGCATAACAAGTTTATCCGTTTGCTGTGAATCAATAATAACAGATACGTGGTTACCGTTTACCAGGAAATATGTACCTAACATATGGTGTACCTACTAATTCAACATGCTCGTGCACCTGTTTAACAAATATATCGTTTTGCTTTGACTTTGCACCAAACTAACACGCAAGTTAGATATACAAGTGAACTTAACGTTTATCTAATTTTAACTATTAGGTACATATTTGACAGGTATATTTTTATCGAATCGAAATTTCTTATCACGGCATTCATAACAAACAACTTTTGCTTTACAATTAGGATACCTGGATGACAAAACGTTGTACACGCTTCATACTAAAATTCGTTGCTATTGGCGTTGTGCTGAATTTTTCTTAATAATTATGGAAAGCATTTGGAGACACGGAAACATATACATAATAATATATAAAAAACCGACCGAATTACGTCTGTTTGCTAAGTTTTATTGAAATATCCCCTAGTTCGCCACTATACAAGACTTTACACTGGAGATAATAATAATCGGTTCTCACTACTCAAAGTATATTGAGAGAAAAACGCATCGAATAGGCGCTATTTATAAAAATGAATCTTCATGCGTGAACAGCCACCCTTAAAGGTGGATGATTTTCTTCAAAATGAAATGGGACCACTATGGAAGTACCCCCTATCCAACAAAAAAAGAATCTTGAAAATCGGTTCACAAATAAAAAAAGAAATAAAAGAACACACTCGAATTGAGAATCTCCTCCTTTTTTGAAGTCGGTTAAAAACAGTAGGCAGCTGTGACCATGGGACCTGTAAACAATTCGAAACCACGTATAAAAATACAAGTAGTGCAATAAACACCGAGTAAACGCCTCCATTCTATATTGAACGGTGCATGCGATGACTCGCGCTGAGTGCTGGTGAAATGACAGGCACATGGGACTCGTCAACTTATGTCTCAGGGTGACGGGCGCAGTGGCAGTGCCCCTAAGATCTTTGTGATTTAAAGCTGTACGGAGTTACCTACTTGTGTTGAGCCGTACAATTTAAAAGTTAAAAAATGCAACAATAGAAATTCAATGTTTCGATTCTAAAAATTTACATCCTTCCAGGAGTTCCCTCCGCCTTCTGGGCGCTTTCGTCTCCTGGCATTAATAAACGACCAGAAAGATACATTAATTTAAATATCCCACCGTGTTTCCCAGTTAATCAAGTCTCACATGGTCGCGAATCTGTACCCTTTTGAAACATCCGTTATACGTTCTTTTAAAACCGCCTAATCAAAAATAATAATTTCTGCAGCGACTACTTGAGTGCGAAATCAATTTAAGGACTTCCACACGGACCACCGCAGATCGCAACCTGGTGGTAGTTGCTCTTGGTGGTAGTTGGTAGTTGATGATGAAACCAGGTGGTAGGGAATTTTTCTGTTTCCACTATGCATACTTCGTGACAGCCGGATGGTCACTCGTAGCCTTTGTAGTGAGCAGGAAACTGTTACGGCTTCTGAGGCAAGCTCGGGGAATTTAGTGGCCATATAAAGGGTGTCGATAAGCGTGGGCGACAGGCTAATTTCAAATTCCTATTCATTACTTTTTCTAACATTGAATAAAACCAACAGGCTCTCCATTCCAACTGCCTCACTCTTCCCGATGGATCAATTATCAACCAGTCAGTGCCTGTGGTGTTACCTGTGCATACTGAGGTTAAAGAACGCGTCGCCGGAGCATCTGCATTGGCACTCGTGTATAATGGACGCCCAGTCGCTGTATTACGATCGCCTGAGTTCTATCCGCATAGGAAGGAGGAGCGTTGTTGCCGACAATTCGGTATATACAATACCGACCATCCCTATATCAAGGTAAGTAGTAGGCTAACCAGCTATGTTTGAAACTTAGAATGGGGTGCTAGTTGTTCACACATACATAACATAAAAGTTTAGTTTAATTTTAGTTTATTAATATAACAATATTAATTTGAATAAAATAGTAAATATTTTTAGTCTCATTATAGCAACACCGTTAATTTTGAATTAATATCAATGTCTAGTTGTTAGTAGAAGAGATAATTCAGACTAATGATTTCGTTTATTCCTAGTTGTCACCACTGGCTTTGTTACCAGGTGGTGACAAACGGGATAAAAAAGTCTCAGTTGTTACTAGTAGTAATTTCCAGTGGCGACAAATGGGAAAAAAATCCCATATGTTACCAGGTGGTAACAAACGGGATAAAAAAGTCTCAGTTGTTACCAGTGGTGATTTCTAGTGGAGACAAATGAAAAAAATTCCAGGTGGTGACAAACAAGAAAAAAAATCTCAATTGTTGCCAGTGGTGATTTCCACTGGTGACAAGTGGAAAAAAAATCATATGTAACCAGGTGGTGACAAATGGGATAAAAAGTCCTGTTGTTACAACTGGCGACAAATGAATTTAAAATATCCCAGTAGTTCCCAGTGATAAAAAAAACAATTGTTATTGTTTGTTACAACAACTGAGACTTTATCACGTACCACCTGGTAACATATGGGATTTTTTCCCAACTTGTCGCCAGTGGGAACAAAGCCAGTGGTGACAACTGGGAGTAAGCGAATAATTTGATAGATAAATTTATTTTCTTATAACTTAATCTAAATACTAAGTAGAACAAAAGAATAGAAATTTAATAATATTAAAACAAACAATAAATAAGAAAGGTAATTATAATATAAGCATTATTTTGGACGACCTAGCGTAACGTTTACACGGTTCGATTCCCGGTAGGACCAATCAATTCGACAGAATCTTACGATAACTCAATTATCGACCGATTTCTTTTCCTTTTTATTCACAACACACGAATCAAACGTCAAACTGTCGTATTCGTAACCGAACCGCAATGACGTCACACCCGTACGATTACTCTAACTTCTCGCCTTGAAAATTTTAAAAATGTATATAAAAGGATTTTCATTTTTCTTATTAATTTATTTTCTTTTATTCTTATAATCTATTTCACCGACTAACTCCGTAAACACTGTTGGATAACGACATCGCATCCGAACTCGAATCGAACGTTTAAAGGACTATCCACACACATCAGGGCCGTGCTCGGGACGTGTCTGGGGCGGGCTAGTTTGTATGAACTGCGGGCCCGTCCCGGCCCCTACCCGGACACGGACATGTGTGAACGAGTTCATATAAAATATACGCAACGATATTTTTTTGAGCTCCTGACGGAGCACGGCCCGTCCACGTCTCGGGCACGGCCCGGACATGTGTGGATAGACCATTATTCGGAATGTTCTGAATACCTCGGAAAGCGTCCTTCGATTCGAGAACCGAACGATTCGGTTAAAATATCGAAGAGTTCTTAATCGGGGTCCTGGGAAATGAACTTTCTAAATGGGTGTTCTGGTAAGTGCCTCAGTGAATTCCGCTGGTTGCTCTAGTAGCTCTAGTAGAGCATGGCACATTATACAACCGTTATAAAGCTATAAAATTAAATATTAACCCTAATAGTGTAAATGCGATGCCTAAACTATGTAAATGAGTACCTCTATTTTAGATATCTTGTATCGCAACAGTACATGGCATTAGAGGAAGAGTCCTGGATTGGGTTTCTTCAATAGTTTATCAAATGAATTTAAATTACTACACGAACCTACGTTTAAATCACAATTTACAAAATGGCTTCTGACACATTGCTTCTATAGTAATAAAGAATATTTAGAATTACATTACTATTATATAATTACTAATTTACATTAATTTGAAATGTAATTCATTTTGGAGGCTAAAATATTTAATTCAATTAATATTTACACACCTGCTTGCAGGTTGACTACACGTACGTTTGTTTATTTTACATCTGATTAATTCAAAGTCAAGTCAAGGTGAGACTCTGACTTTATTTATTTTGACTTAGTCAAAATAGTAATTGCTTTCATGTTTTTAAGATTAAAATAGTATCAACATGACCCTATTAGGGCGCCGCAATTGAAAAATATACATTAATTAAAATTACAAAAATAAAAGCACATTATAAAGCAATCACATCATTATAAAGCAATTTTAAACAAAAGCTAATAAATTAAACAATAATTATCAATAACATAACATGATTCTTTTGATGCAGAATAGTACAAAAAGAAGTAGGTAGTCACTCTTCAAAAAACTGCTTCAGGCTGTAGTAACGTTTTCCTATTAAGAGTGCCTTTAGTTTTTTGATGAATAAATAATATGGGGTCTGGGATGATATATTCTTAGGAATTCTGTTGTAAATTTTAACAGCCATTACATAAGGTCCCTGATGGTACAATTGTAATTTCGACCTAGGTAGTGCTAATCTATTTTTATGTCTGAGGTTCACTGGGCGGGTATAGGTGTCCTTTAATTGAGTGAAATATTAGGTATTGATATTTTTTGACAAAATTTACGTTTCTAAAATGTATAAGGTTGGTAAAGTAAGAATTTTTAATTTTATGAAGTGCGGTTTACAACTTTCTATTAGGTCGATATTTCTACTACTTTCTAATACATTTCTGTTGCAAAGTGAATAACTTCAAGGCATCAGTGCTATTCCCTCACAAGGTGATACCATAACTCAACCAAGCATGAGTATAAGCATAGTAGGCTGTTGTTGCTGCTGCGTTTGTGTCAGTGGTTTTCTTTAATTAACTTAGTAAAATACTAAGTTCATTAAAGAAATTGAACTGCCTCTGTGGCCGAAAACTTACCATGCCGGACTGCCACGAAGAGGTCCCAGGTTCGATTCCCGGGCCGGGAAAAAATATTTGTATGGCCTACATTTATTTCTCTTGTGAGTTTGGGTGTAATTTGTGGTTATCTATGTGTGTTCATGGCACCCGCGACACAGGGTTTCCCTAGTGCAGTGTAGTATTATTTTCGTTTTTGTGTAATTTATAGCCAGATTGTGATCCCTAAGTCAGCTATTTACATCATTAAATTTGTCAATAATACTTTCTTTCAAATCTGATTCCATTGTACATGGAAAATCCACCGACAAGTCATCTGCAAATAAAATGCTGGTAACGTTCAAGGCCTTGGGTAAATCGTTAATATATATCAGGAATAATATACACCCGATCACACTCCCTTGTGGTATAGACTGGGTCACGTCTACCTTACGCGACCGTACGTTAGATATGACACCAGAGCTGGAGTCGTGGTGTTCTACCTCCACGTACTGAAAACGATTTGTAAGGATTTGAACCGCTCACATGTCGTCCTTCTTACATCTACATATGCCACATAGATTTTGTAACAATATTTTATATGATACCCTGTCATAAGCCTTACTCATGTCCAGGAGAACACCCACTGCGTATTGTTTACCATTAAGGAAATCTAGTATTTTTTAAATATATTTATAAACAGCTAATGCCGTTGATCTATTTCGTCTAAATCCATGTTGGCTCTCATCTAATATATTATTTTTCACAGAAGGAATAAAGTCTGTGAAATTGCTAGTTCAAATATTTTTGCAAAGGTTGGTAGAAGTGCTATAGGTCGATAATTATTTAAATCCGTGCGATCGCCATGTTTACATATAGGCTTGACAATAGATATTTTTAGTAAGTCGGGGACAGTGCCCTCGGAAAAGGATTGATTAATTAAAAATATTTTTATTACTTTTGCTGGCAATTCATCCAAACCAAAGCTTTTTTTGTTTTTAAGACTGCTCTGTATAATTAATTATGGATGTGTATGATTCAGTAATTATACAGATGTAAAATAAATGAATACATACAGTTATTTTGGCAAATAAACGTTTTCTATTCGATTTTCTACAATCGTTGATATTTGTTAAAAATATACTTTATTCCGATTTCTGGTAATTAAGATATATACTTCATACCCATCCAAACTTTTGCATTTGAATTGCGTATAATTTCCCAAGACTTAGCAATCTGCAATGGGAAAAGCGCTAAACGCCCAATGTACATTAAAACGTGCTAAACATGCTTCAGGCTCATTCAAGTAAACCTTCAGTTTTGTGTGAAACGCTCAACCGGGATTTTTCAAAGTATTTTACTAAATACCCTATTGTCCCATATAATAATATGTAGCGCTGATTTAAATGCGATATTTTAATAGTCATAGCGACACAGGCGCATCAAAGGGAGCGACTGACTAAATAGGTCAAGGGAACCCTCCCCTCACCCCGCTGCTTCCTTGCGCTATCGCTAGTGCTTACTTCGACCTACAAGGTCCAATAGTTAACGCAGAGTTATAATTGTTAGAGCTATAATAGATTTAAATATTTTCATTTTTGTATAAAAGTAAAATCCGATGAATTATCAAGTCATGGAACAAAAGATGTTGTTTATAATGTCAGTAATATAATCCTGCTAGTTTGTTAGTATTTTACAAATAACCCTGTATATCAATGTAAACGACATTTTCGCGATCATAAGTATAACGTATGGGTGTGAATCACTTCACAAATTAGTACATTTTGGTGAACACGGTCCCTCAGGAGGACAAGCATAATATTGCCTAGGAATAAGAATACATTAATTGCATAACTATAGGTCATTACATAAGGTCTTAATTGGTTTGTACTCTATAGTGCACCAGTAAAGGTGTATTATACATATTATTAAATGTCATATTAAAATTAAAATTAAATTGCATTACAATATGAAGGAAAAAAAAAAATTATTATTACTAAACATGTCACATCGCTAGTCCCCAAATTTGTCGTTGTCGTCAAAAAATTCTTGTACACTATAATAAAGTTTGGTACTCAACCATTTACTAAGAGCGTTTTTAAATTTAACTTACTCGATTCTTTTTTTAATTCATTCGGAATGTTGTGATTATCTTGTAACTTATTGATTTCAGATGATATCAGAGTCTGGCGACTGGCTGGTGGGCGGGAAATTGGAAGTTTTCGAGCGCATTCGCTGGAATGACAGTCTTGACTCGTACAGAATGACTCCAAACGAGCTGCGACAGAAGTTCAAGGAGTTAAACGCTGACGCCGTTTTTGCTTTCCAGGTAGGTACAATCGACCACATTGATAAGATTAAATGTGGCTCGGTAAAGTGCGATTGAAAAAACACCGTGTAAAACACAGAATTAATCAATATGAAATACAGAAATCTCGAATAGCGCAACGCGTCTAACATCTGCTATACAGAGTGTTTTTTTAAATGGTAGTATAGTTAAAAGGTAGTATAGGGATGTCCGAAACCATAGAAGATACAAGGAAACTGTCTTAGGAATCATTAATTTTTTTTTTTTGAGAAAACAATTTTGGCATAGTCATTTTTTGGTGAAGCATGGTCTATAAAAATGAATAAAATTGATCACACTACTTTTTAGCACTGATCGAATCAATTTCATGTAAGGAAAAAATAGTCATTTTTATTCATTTTGTACGAAAAATAATTTTATTAAATTTGACCATCTTCTTCTGTCCCAATTTTTTCGTCCCATACAATGAAATGATCCTTAAATGAAATTATTTTATTAATTTTTATGGACAACTCACGCTAGTCCAAAAAATTGACTATGCCAAAAATTGTTTTCACAAGAAAAGACCTAATGGTTCCTAAGACAATTTCCTTGTATCTTCTAGTTTGGGATTTCCCCATACTGGTCCATTTAAAAGAAACACTGTGTATTTTTTGGTGGGTGTCAATTTAAAAAATGACAACCTTGTATTGGCGAACACTCTTATCGAAGGGACGTATAAAACTTTTTAATATTATACCTTACGAACACATATTTGTAACACATCCAGCTCCGTAACCCGATACACAACGGGCACGCTCTGCTAATGCAAGACACGCACCGACAGCTGGTTGAGAGGGGATTCAAGAAACCCGTGCTGCTTTTACATCCGCTTGGTAAGTCAATAGTACGGAAAGAGACTTTAAAGGTCTATCCACACATATCCGGGACGTGCCCGAGCCGTGCTCCGTCAGGGGCTTAAAAAAATATCGTTGCGTATATTTTATATAAACTAAGACGCCCCGTGCACGTCCCGGGCACGGCCCTGATGTGTGTATCCACACACATTCTTTACAGACAAGCTTATAATTTTGACCTATGAATGGTGCATAAAATAATCGTTTTCTAATTGTCATAGTTCTCGCCGTTCTGTTTCGATCTATATATTATTACTTTTTTAAATAATAATATTTATTTATTTCTCTCTATTAGGTATGTCTGTATGTATATGATACAATGTATGTATTAACACAAATAAATAAACTATTTTAACTCTGTTATTATTGTTAGGAGGTAACATAATTATTAATTATTCTTTTATTTTGAACTTATTTGTTGTGAGAGAAATAAATAAAGATTATTTATATTTTAAACAAGTCAAAAAGTTCACTATGTACGTTCTTCTTTTGAAAAGCAGCGATATCTCTCACTCTAGTTTCGTCCTTGTTCATGCATTGTATTTGTGGTCGCGTAACGTGATACAGGATTATCACTCTTACACACTAACAACCAGTAGGTGGTTCATCTTCATCTAAAATGTACATTTGCAGGTGTTTTTTGTCACTAACCTTTTTCGTGGTTAAAATATAATTTAGTACAATAATATTATTTTATACCGTTGAAATTATATACTGCTGGTATTTTTGTATCAAAAACCATTAATTTACTCTAGAATTTTAATAAATTATAATTAACAATTTTACTTTCTATGAAATTTTAAACGTCACATCCCTCGGGTGTCAAACTAAACGGATCATTACAGCCGCCGGTTTAGAGAAATTTATGAAGTTGATATATTAGGACTGTAATATTAATATAGTTATTAGAATTTCAATAAATAATTACATTTTAAAACAATAATGTTTAAAAAAATCATTTTAAATTACTGTAAGTCTTTTTCTCCATTTCGTAACATTTTGCTTCGTTACGGGCGTTACAGATTCATTAAAAACAAATAATAATCAATTTTAATGTAGGCATAATTGTTCTATCAACGAATGTATCATAGACATATGCCTATTTTAAAACGTCATCTGTGATTTTGATCGCACCTAAATTTCAGGTACATTTAATTTTCGGTTTAGTCACGAAATTTCAGTAATTACGGTAAGAAACCTATCAAATTATTTAAATATTTCTTTGTTTTTATAAAGTACAGGTAAAATTACGTAGTAAAGCTTCATTTGATCACATTTGCGAGCGTTTATTCAAAGAGCTAAGTTATATTTTCTTGGTTTTTTATTGTCGGTTTAGTAACGTTTCGTTACGCAACGATACGGAAAAGGCTGTGATCATATTGAGTTCTTTCTAACCATACAAAATTATGTACTTATTTGTTAGTGTTCAAATGCTATGTAATCCACGACTTCCGTAGTCGAGTGTCTTGCACGTCGGTTTTTATGGTTTCCCATGTCTGAGCCGATCGTATCCGGGTACGATCCCCGGCCGAGTTAATGCAGAAAAAACTAACTTTTCTATATTGTCTCGGGATTGGGTGTTTATCGTACTGTCGTTGTTTTCGATTCACATAACACAAATGCTTAAAAGTTACTTACTTTGGAAGCAGACGAAAGAAAGACCAAGAGATACAAAGACAGAAATGGAGGTACGAAATAAGAAGTGAAAATAATGTAAGCCTAAAAGAGATAATAAATTTAAATGGAAATCCTGCATATATGCAACTAGTGCTGGAAAACAAAAAGCTAAAAAAAATGTATTTTGACATAAACGAACGAAGGCGGAGACAACAAAATTATCGGCTGAAAATAAAAACCTTGACAACAATTCTATTATGCCCAGAAAAAAAATTAAATTATTTTAAATCAGCTTATATTGCGAATAAAGACTCACAAAATATTATTATTTGTTTTTATGTCTTACATTATGTGGACTTATACTATCAATGATTATTTCCTCGCTACATCGTCGTGGAGTGAAAGGGAAAGAATATAATCGGTCATTTTTTATTAAGTTAGTTTAATTCCTCAACTGTGCCCAAGCCCTTATGTTCCATTTCGTTATTTTCGTTACTTTCCGTTTCGTTTCTGTTTAGTTACAAGTACAATTTAAATGAATATGACCCAGGTGTAGTTTGTATGTACACACGCCCGCAACATCAAGCTACACATTGGCGTGTTGTTTCGTTGCAATGGAGGCGATTTTCGAACAAAAATGTGTAGTCTGATGTGCCGTTGTCCGTACATCGGCTTCAACACGGACTTGTAAAAATGTCACAGTTATGTTAACTAATAGTCAAAAGTGATATTTGCTTACTTCAGACTGAGTTACAATTTTTTCACGTAATTCGTAGTAAATCTAACAATTTATAATTTTTATTTTAAGATTGTGGATAAAAATATTTCTATGGTATGTTTTAAAAAAGGTGGCTGGACAAAGGACGACGATGTCCCTCTGGATGTGAGGATGAACCAACACAAGGCAGTACTAAACGAGGGGGTCCTCGACCCGAACGCTACTATCCTCGCTATATTCCCCTCACCCATGATGTACGCTGGACCAACCGAAGTACGTATTATGCCTCTATTTACTTGTTTATTTTAGTAATGACAACAATTGCTTATTATTGATAGGGTACATTTAAAACGCTTAGAAGAAATCTCATCAAGTTATTCTCAAATTACGCAATCGTATCCTTGGTATAATAAATTCACTTGTGTTCCTACGTCAAAATTGTTTTATCACGTGAAAGTCATAAAAATAATGCGAACTATAATAATAAAACAAATTACGTGAAAATTTATAAAGGACTAACCACACACATCAGGTCCGGGCCCGTGACGTGAACGCGTTCTCCGTCAAAAAAATACTGCTGCGTATATTTTGTATGAACTCGTTCACACGGGCACGGCCCTGATGTGTGTGGATAGTACTTTACTCTTCAATTTAAGCATAGAAGAGTTATCGACTAAATTCGTTCTTAGAATCTTTACACCTCTCTCCTAAAAAGTTGTGATTTTGCAGGCATAGTATTATTACGTCAACAGTGCAGAATACAGTGAGATGTGCACACACTGATACACTATAGCGTACACTACATAATAAATAAAATAATGTTACATTTTTATCAACTAGGTAATAGGGTACTGTTCTCTACATTTACAGTACTATTTTCTAATTTCAGCGTCATTTAAGCTGTACAAAACAGTCGTATATAATTATTATTATTAAGATTTTCTTTTATTCCATGTATATCACTTTATATCTAAAGCAATATGGTACTTTATTATACAGAATGTAACGTTTCATGTCTTTAACGGAGTGTTGCTTTAAATAATGACTATACCTTTCTATTGCATCATGTACAAGTAGATATTGTCATGTAATAAGTTTTCAAGAAAAAAAATTCTCAATTTAAATAAAGAAAAACGGAAATTAAACAATTTTTGGACGAAAACTGGTGTACTTATAGTTGTTTTTTGAAACATCTACAAGGGCTTTCTTACGAACGCATTTAGCGTTAACATCATGCTAATTGTACAGCGTATTATAGATTTGCCCAAACGCGGCGTTAGCGTTGTATGAAACCTTTTGGCCGATCCATATAATTAACATAACGTCGACTACATTTGTAAATCTCGTAACCTCGGCATATAGGCACAAAATCATAATTATACTAGAAATAATTATATGACAATCTACGATAGGGCCTACAAATTATATTTGAAGCTTTAATTGCCCGATATTGCGTTTGAATAGTAAAAAAAGGATTTCCTTCAAAAACGGAGTTAAGAGGTTTTCAAATTTAGACGACGATAAGCAATTTGAAGCTAACGGCTCTAACGAGTTACTTTTGTAATGTAAAATAGCTCTAGTGTTAAAACGGCGAAGATCCAAAATTTAAGTTCCACTCTTGTTGATCTATGCAGGTGCAATGGCACGCGAAGTGCCGTATGAGCGCGGGGGCGAACCACTATATTGTGGGCCGCGACCCCGCTGGTCTGCCGCACCCTGCTGGCGATGGCGACCTCTACGACCCGCGCCACGGCGCTATAGTACTCAAGATGGCCCCCGGACTCAATGAACTCGAGGTCAGTATTTATACTATGACATCACGTGACGTCATTAAGCCTTACTTATTTTGTCCTATCATAGTCAGAAAAGCAAAGGTTTCAGTCTTCAGATCAAATCATTTACAAAAAGTGACCTACTCGGCTAAACAAAGGAACAAGAATTACAGTTTGTCAATTCGCGTCCATTATTTCGTCAGTCTTACACAGCAAGTCGGCGTCAAAAATTATAATAATTTATCATCAGCGACTCATATGGGGTAGGGAACGTACCACAACGTACAATAAGACAAGTAGTGCAACTCCCGCCTGTTCAGCGCTTCAATGTTTGTCTCATTATTATTTTAGTAGAACAATGGAAGTGCTTACCTCGATTACTATCAAAACCACTGTTGCCAAAACTCACACAATTAGTTTCTAATTAAAGTTTTCTTTCGTTTTTTGTAAGAAAAACTTTATTATAATAAACAGAAAATTAAAAATTTGTTAAGATTAAATAAGACTTAACGATGGTATGAAACACCAACATGGATATTACAAAAACGATTATCGTAAAGCTCCTTGTGAAAGAGTTCGTCCAGGCAAGTACTGTCACCTTACCCATTTCTGCCGCCAAGCACGAATGTAAGCATTACTGCGCTCCAATTATGAAGGATAAGGGTGCTGATGAAATTACAGGCACATGGGACTTGTCAACTAATGTCTCAGGGTGACGGGCGCAGTGGCAGTGCCTCTCAGATCTTTGTGATTTAACGCACTGAGTGGTACTGCAACTGTTATAGACAGGAATGTCCCCACCAGGTGGACGACTTGTACGTCCCGTCACGTCGTATCATAAAAAAAATATTATAACTTTTGCACTCTAAAGTAGCAAAATACTAGTAGTCGTAGACTAGGTAGATAGGGTCGGAAATAAAGATTTATTATTATTATTAAAATAAGGCATTTTTCTACGAGGTTTTGCACGAGATAATTGAGACGATGATAAAGTACAAACCGAAAATGGCGGACTGAGCTCAAGTATGTGGTACTCCGCATACTGTTGGCGCAGATGTCACGCGCGCTAAACACTTCCACTGTATTTATTGTTCAGCAATTTTAGTTGTACCTACAGGTTGTAAATATAATTTGATAAAATTAAGGTGTTCTCACAGCGTTCTCGTGTTATATACAAATATTTTTTATTAATTGTAAACTTTACACGTTGATAAGTTTACACCCAAAAGGATTGGTGTGTCTATTATGATTATTAAATAGAAATGAAATGCTGAACAGTTCTGAATTTGAGGCACTCTTGTTCAAACAACCATGAACGCAACAAAAAACAGTCTACTATTTGATGTAATTTTTGAAAGACCGAGCGAACATTTCTATTCACGAATGAATGGCTGACGCTGTTCAACGCGAGTGCAAGGCGAGATTGTGGGAATGTGTGTCTACGTTTGTATTGGAGTTACACTTGCCTTTTTATACTATGGTTTAGGCCATATTTCGCCTCGCTCATCTGGGTACTTGTCAAAAATTATGGAAACCTCTGTTGTGATCCTGGTTCTATCACAATGTTCTCGTTTACTAAAACAGTAAGTCATATTTTAGCTAAACAACACAGCATTCGAAAAGACAATCAGAAAGAAATAAAAAGTCTGATGAATAATTGGACTAAGGACCAGGACACACTTATCGAACAGCAGTAGAGCTCGTTGTAAAAGAGTTCGTCCAGGGAACTACTGCCACCTCACCTATTTTCTGCTGCCAAGTAGTAATGTTAGCATTACTGCGTTCTGGTTTGGAAGGGTAAGGGTGCTGGTGAAATTACAGGCACATAGGACTTGTCAACTTATGTCTCAGGGTTACGGGCGCAGTGGCAGTGCTCCTCAGATCTTTGCGATTTAAAACTCTCAGTGGCACTGCAACTGTTATGGACAGGCGTGTAGCTAACGATCAGGCGCACGACTTGTTCGTCCCGTGACTTACTACATATACTATTAAAAAAAAATAAAAAACTAGAACAAAGAAACGACCACATATAGAATGATGATTACATTTATTATTAGAAGTTGACATAGAATGCGTATAGATATATATAATTATCTAATGTACTTAATAATACTGTCTTTGGTAATTGTCTTACGTCTAAGCAACATTTATTTTAAATATAGTAATTAATAATAAAATGAACACATACACTGAGTCGACTATATTTCAGAACTAATTAATATACTTTGTCTCTTTAAAAAAAAAGAGAGTGAATAGAAAACCCGATACGTTAAGACCGTTTAGATGCAAAAGGTCTATGAGCATTTTATTTGGATTGGCGATAATCATACAAGCCGAAATTCAACTACGGAATTTCTGTGTTTCCAATTACTTCTAATCAGAGATCACTATACTATCATAGAGATCATTGGACAAAATACTTTTCTCTGATTGAAAAACTTGGCAGGTGATGATATTACACACTAAAGTTAATCTAAATTAACTGAAATGGCTTCGAATTGTTCAACAATTTTATGAGACGGATGGCGAAGGTTCGTTCTGAAATAAACTAATTTTTGTGTCGGTGTCAACTAACATATCGATATATTGTATAACACGAGTAACATGTTCACTAATAAATAAACAATATATTTTAAAGAAGTAAGGATAAGTGCCAAACATCTTTACAATTTAATGCCCTGTGATTGTTCGGTTTCATTTTCCTACAGTGTACATAACGCAAATGAAGTTCAAGCTCTGATCATAATAAAAAGACTACGAAGTACAACTGGGTATACTCTGCTTCATTCTACAGGTTTAGATAGAGCGTCCGCAATATTCTTCGATCATGTCAAGAAAAAATACAATATGGTGTGCGTTTGCTCTTATGCACCGATTTGAGATGACAACGTGTATTAATTTACTCAGATCAAACATAATTGAGCGTCCGTAAATTCAGCCGCGTTTTTTCCACTTGATTTGCCCCTAGCCTTATACAATACAAATTAATACTTTATAAATGTTATACTTATTTTCTAGATAATTCCATTCCGGGTTGCCGCTTACGATACATCGGTGGGCAAGATGGCGTTCTTCGATCCGACGCGCAAAGAAGATTTTGACTTTATTTCCGGCACTAGGATGAGAGGTATAAGACTGAAAATAAATAATTTACATAAATTCAAATGAAAATTTTAAGAGCTTGAGAACTGTGAATGGATGGGCTAACCTTGGGAATTATTTGAACACAACGGAAACCGAATTAGATACATGAAATACAGTAAAAATATATAGGGCGTATTTTTGTGTCTTTATAATATTAATTGTAATGTCGGCAAGTTAACAAAAAGTAATTATATATATGATATATATGATATATATATATATATATATCATATATATATATACATACATATATACAGGATTATTAGTAAAATACTAACAACCTTGCAGGATTGTACTACTAACATCTTAAACAAAAACGTCTGTTCTAGGAATTTTAAATAATTCATCAGATTTAAAAATATTTAAATAATTCATGAGATTTAAAAATATTTAAATAGATTGCTCTATATGGTGTTATAACTCTGTGCGGTAACAAACGAAAGCGCTAGCGTAAATACCAGTCCGATACGAAACGCAGCAGCGGAGGTGGGCATCGTCGGGAGGAGACCGTTACACGTTTGAACTTTGTACTACCATTTACAGACGTAAAAAGTGTTAGATAGGTAGTTTTAGTTGAAAACTTAAAAGTATATTTGTTTTGTAAAAAGTCATAGAACAAAAGTTGTTTATGATGGCGAGGTTGTTAGTATTTAACAAATAACTCTGTGTACAACAAATAACGTTACTGTAAATGTTATTTTTCGTCAACAGGTTTAGCTAAAGCGGGCAAAGAGCCTCCAAAAGGCTTCATGGCTCCATCAGCATGGAAGGTTCTCGCAGAGTACTACCAATCTTTGAAATCTAAAATGGACACAAACTGAAGCGAACGTTTATCACTTTAGGCTAATTGCAAGGTTCTAAATAAAATTTATAATTTATCGAGTATAGTCTGCACTGAGAAACAGGTTGACTTGTACAATTTGTCATTACGTAAATTTAAAACGACAACCGAAATGAACGTGATTAACAATATTGCACACTATTTAAATGCTGTCAATTCAAGGGCATACGTAAGTCTACTCGGGGTGAAGCTCGATCACGCTTGTAAGCGTCTCAATGATACATTTTAAAGAATTAGTTTTTTAAATTAAATTGAGCGCCGTCGTTTCTACCCCAAATTTATTTTGAATGCCTTCATTTTTTACGACTAGTGAGGTTTTCGAAAGCTATAACGCTCTTGACATATACAATATTATAGTTGATTACCTCAACTGCATGACAGATTGCGTACATGTTTGTAATGTTCTTTATATAGAATGGTTTATGGCATTTAACAGGTTTTAATAAAGCTTATCTTGGTCACCAAATACACCATATAGTATTGGCAAATATGTTAAGTATTTATCTTGAAACTAAATGTTTCTGGGCTGAATTTGAAAACAACAGAACGAAATTACAATCCGTAACTCGAGTGAACAGGATCATAGTAAATATGTATGTAACTGTTATATCAAGTACATTGAGTAAGAAGCCAATCAAATGTTGTATGTTATTAGGCCTAAATAATATTTTGGCACAACTGAATATTAAAATTTTTAATGAATATTTTTTATACTGTTATGTTATGTTATTATTATTTTATACTTATTTTTATGGGCAATATTTTTTGTAAATATCGACTTTAGAGATTTTCGCGAATGTTGCACATATTAAATAAAACTATTTTTTCGGACCTAATCGCGTATTTTTTCTTATAACAAACCAACGTTTTGCGCTCTACACGTCCCATTATTTTGACTATTTAGTTATTTGAAGTAGTTACTGTTTTAGTTAGTAAAGTTATTTGAACTAAAGTGGGACAATTTTTCAAATGTATCACAAATGTTTGACACGGAACTATTGAGGCCCGATAAAATACGAAAACAATTTACAGGATTAAAAAATTATAATGTAACATTTTAATTACATTCCTTTTCTTATTTTATGTGTAATGTACACATTCCGTCTTATTTTTATATTGTAAATAGTACAGATGTATACATATAAGATAAAAATGTATACCATTTTTTTCCATAATCACTATTAGATTTTTTAAATGTATTTATTTAATTATTATTTTTTTTAAATTTGTTTTATTAAATGTAAAAAATTTTATTTAGAAACAATTTATCGTATGGATGTCTATTGTTAATTCCTGAGAGTTTTTAACTGCTGTATGTAATTAATTTAAAAGGATTGGTGCTTACAAAGCTATTATAGGTCTAATATATGAATAAACTCGATGACAAAATTATAATAATTTGTTTTCTTCGCGTAATCCACACTTTTTATCCAAACTACTTCTAGGTTTTTAGAGATCGCGAGGAGCACTTCTTCAGTATGTTTTTGAAGCATATCCAATAGCTTAATTTAACAATAATAAGACGCATTGTATATCCCTTTGATGATGTCTCCAAAATAGGGATGAACGATTTTTTGCTTTGAATCGATTTTTTGGATCACTGTCTAATCATTAATTTGGATGAATTATCGTTGTAGCCTTAAAAAACTAGATTTAGTCATTATGCCGTTTTGAAGTTATAAGGGTGTTTTACTGTGCATGCTGGAATAAGCTTATTCTGGCGGCACAATTTTTGATTCTTGAGAACCACAGATCCTAGCTTAGGTCTGATTGCAGCCAGAAAAAGTCAACGGAGCTACTAATTCTAGAATTTCGCGACTAGATCCGACTATATGACGACATTTTACTTGACTATACTCGATTCACACCATTCTTCTTTCTTTGACTGTTGTTATTATACGTTATTACATTATATTATTTTTTCGTTACAATTAGTCTTAATAATGAAACCAGTGCTTACACTGGGTTACTTTATGACAAAAAAAGTGAGAAAAAATCTTTGGTTGGTACGGCTTAGTATGAGTGATGTCCAGTAGAAGGAAATTTGCCTGGCAGTTTAGGTGTTCGAAATTTGAGTGAGATACTGGGAGTCAACTAGAAAGTCAGTGTATGCAACGTTTATTGCTTAAACTACGTATAAATAAAATAAATATTCAGTAGGTATTGGTTATTACGACAACGGGTGCGGTTCGTTCGAAAAAACGCTTAATTATTGACTTGTAGTGTAGGTCAAAGCGCTCCACGTATATAATTATAATTAATTAATAGTATTATTAATTATAGTATACATTTGACATATTCTTTTTATCTAATATATCAATGGGATAATATAATAATAATAACGCGCATACACTCATAGCCCCACACAAAGGAAACCCTGTACCGCGGGTGCCATGGACACACACATAGACAACCACAAATTACACCCAAACTCACGAGAAATAAATGTAAACCATACAAATATTTCTCCCGACCCCCGGGAATCGAACCCGGGACCTCTGCGTGGCAGTCCAGCATGGGAACCATTCGGCCACGGAGGCAGTTCAATGTTATACAATCCCCGTGTCAAATTTAGGTGTGATCACGAGCGCGGTGACGGGGAATATAATAAAGCATAGCAAAATTAATCTTATAGAATTGGACTACCCCTAAGGACTAATCTAACTTAGGGGAAGTTCTAGGCCAGAGGTTTTTGGATATGCAATAAATATACACATCAAGTGTCTAGGGATCAAGCACGTCTTTGCCAATTACTGAAAATAAGATTTATAAATTCTTTTTCTACTAAAGTACGAGCAAAATATTTGTTTGCTCCATAATGTTATGGACAGGCACTAAACTGTGTGAAAAAAAAAATTGTGAATAAGTACATATAATGCACCAATTCATTGAAATCAAACAAAATATAACAAAAACCTTAATTTTAGCCCGGAGGTGCGAAAATAGACAAAACATATTTTTGCTTGGATAAGAACTCACGTCAAGTATGTACGGACAACGGCACATCAGATAACACATTTTTGTTCGAAAATCGCCTCCATTGCAATGGAACAAGATACGTCAATGTGTAGCTTGATGTGCTAGCGTGTGTACATTTACATTGAATTTTAAACAAAATAAAATTACTGTTTGCGCCACTGATTACTGCAACGTTGTGTTACGAGGTAGTTCTTATTTTGTTTTTTTACTTGGATATTTATAGGTTTAGAATTGGTCTCAAGTTTTTCAATATTTTGAACTCGGTGGCGAGTTGGTTTGATATTGAGCAAAAAAAATGGGAAACCATGAGTAATGACAATGCAGAAGTCATAAATATCTTCTTGAATATTATCATTGTCAAGTGCCTACGCACCTTATACGCAAATACAAACAAAAAATTTGCATTCCTTTTGCCTGATCCGATACGAACATTACTCTATGTCTAGATTACCAGCCAAGTGCGCGCCATCTAGCGACTTCGACGCGCGTCAGCTCGATACACAGTAGCACGCGAACAATCGAAACCAACGCGCCAATACACGCATTCCTTCTCAAATAGATGGCGCGCGTGTCGCCCTAACCAACGTGCTAACACCACGGATTTATATATTTCATGAACTGGATATACCAATACCGCACTTCGATATACCAATATTACAAATTTACACCTTATTGGGTTTTGTTAAGGTTTATTTTAAGTAAAAGTAAAAAGCTGAGCCACGTGAGATAGCTCAAAGTCGTGGTACAGACCACCTTGTCTAACAAGTTGCCACCGCTAAATAAAATCATCTTAGGTATGTAGTGTCTAGTCTATTACGTATTTTAAATTTTGGTTAAATAAAATTAGCTTAAATGTAATATGCTTTTACTGTAATAATACAAAAAAAATATACCAACAATGAAACCTTCTATTATGAAGTAGCATATCAAATAAATATACTAATTTGCATTATGAAACAATATTAGTAGTTCTGGTCATCCATAAGCGGGCACATTTTCTGGAAGAGTTAAAAAGTTAAAAACAATATGGCTGGCTGAACCATGAATGAACTAAAATATTTGAAAAAGATGCATTACTACTTTGAAGCCTCTCACTCGGTTCATTTTATTGACTTAGTGCGCGGTTTAATATACAAGTCCGTGGGTAAGACAGCAAGGTTATTTGCCTATCTCGTCGCACAGCGGTGCACTTTGTATGGTACCGCGGAAAATATTATGTTTTTATAGTAAAACAAGACTATCGGTTTTTTTAGGGTATTTAAGGATGAAATAATGATTTTTGTGACAATAAAAGTATATATGTATAATTAACATCTCGAGGTGCAGTTTTATGGCACCGCGAAAAATATTACGTTTTATAGTAAAACAAGATTATTGGTTTCTTTTAGGGTATTTAAGGATGTAATAAGTATTTTTTTGATAATAAAATATATACGTACAATTAACAATTTCGGAATTAATAACGTTTATTACAAATGAGAAAATATTTCGTTTAAAATATTTATTTCATTATGTGTTTTTACATCCAAGGTGGCAGTTGGTGGCAACTAAATTTATAAAATCTTATCAAGACAGAGTAATAAATCGATTAAGTGAATAAGTAGACAGCAGTCGCTGGCGGTAAAAAGATATAGCTTTAAATTTATAAAATGAGAAATATTAAAAAGATACAATCCTTTCAATATTATGCGTACCGACAAGATTACATTTATAGGTTTTACAAAAAAACATAAATATCGTAAAGAAGGATGGCGACATCTTGTGTATTTTGTGACCCAGTGTTTTTGACGATGTGCATTAACGAGACCTATCAATACTTGTGATTCATTATCAAAGCATCAAAAAAGCTAATTAAGTAGAGCCTGTAGAAGCTGGGGTTATAAAGTTGATATAGGTTATGTTTATAACATTTTGTCCTATATTTCGCTTCAGATGTTTGTTCGTAGTAGCAGGAAACAACAAGTTTTCAGTTTGTTCCTAAAAATAATAAAGAACTTGCCCAATATTCCCAAATTTGCCCAAATGGCAGAAATCTGCCACAAATGCTCCCACTGTTCTCAGTATCAATGTGAGATTGACATTGGCAAGAGGTCTCTTGTCAAAACGATCCTTTGCAACTTTCATTATCTCTCATTTAAATATTGTTGTAATATTTTTGTCACATTATGTTTTATTTTTTACTATATGCCATTACTGTTTAATTGATTATTTTATTAGGTATTTTACAGCTTTAATGTTTTATGTGTGTACTATAAAATAACCAATATTTCAGGTAAATTAAATGAAACGTACGTACAAGTAAGGTAACGTTCCCTAATCTATGGTCGAACTGAACTCAGTTGCGTTGTGTTCTTGCATCTATTTTAAAATACAATGTTTTACTATTTCTTTATTCCCGACTTCTAAAAATATATTGATAACTAGGCATAAACTAAAACGCAAAATTATACTAGTAAAGTCCGTGAATAGGTCTTCGTTGTTATTGGGGCAGGTTTCGCCATCCTTCTTTCTAGTAAATTTAATTTAAGATTAACTTTGGAAATACAGAATTTTTGCGTAAACAATAGTAAAAATGGTTATGTCTGCATCGGATATGTTTAGTCTCGTATTTTTGCGTAATGTACAACTATTTGTTTTTATAGTTTTTGTATCTATGGAGTGTATAGTGTCGTATGTATAATGTAAAATTTGTCTAGATAAAATAATGTTCATAAAAAATTTTCTTTGTTTTTTTCCGCCAATGCGCCACTGTGAGTCGTCTTAATTATGTCCCATGAGTTATTACATCCCTTGAAATTGTGTCAAATATCGTTATAGACCGATAATATCCTTTGAAATTATATAAAATGTCGTTATACCAAGTAAAAATAAATCATTTGTTGTTGTATCGATCATTACATACCCCTGCTGTAATAGAAAACAATGTTGAACCATAGGCCTGGTGACACTAAGCTACATGCACTATAGTCGTCACCAATTAAGGGCCGTATTCTAGAACTCTACTCATTGCTCAAGTCAGGACTTGAGTATGATTTCAAGCACTGGAATACTACCCTAATGGCAAGGACTTGAGTATGATTTCTAGTGCTCACTGCAATACTCAAGTCAGGATTTGAGTATGATTTAAAGCACTAGAAATCATACTCAAGTCCTTGCCATTAGGGTCGTATTTCCAGTGCTTGAAATCATATTCAAGTCTGCCCAAATCCTGACTTGAGCATTGAGTACAGTTCTGGAATACGACCCTAGGGGTCGTATTCTAAGACTCTACTCAATGCTCAACTTTCAGATTTGAGTATGGTTTAAAGCACTCGAAATCATACTCAAGTCCCTGCCATTAGGGTCGCATTTCCAGTGCTTGTGTTTCCAGTGCAATCTTGACTTGAGCATTGAGTAGAGTTCTAGAATACGACTCACTTCACTTTTTATTTTTATGGCTCCATCAATATGAGAACTGATGATTTTGCCAATGTCACAGTTGAAAGAAAAAAAACGAAAGAAAAAAAAAATTTTCGCTAAGCTCTAATAGGACATTAACCGGTGTTGGTAAGTTGGACTACGGGAGTACTCAGTTGAGAATGTAAAACAAAACAGCAAAA